AGAGGTGACGGTGTTGGAAGGGTGTGACGGCAGCTGATCTCTCCGGTCCAGTTCGCATCTCAACTAAACGAGCGTACACCGTTGGTCAACGGGTAACCACCTGGTCTCTCCTTGAAACTATCGACAGTTAGGGTTGAAACTTCCTCTGCTGGTAACGCACTACAGCGCCCGCAGACTTGAAAGAGGAAGAAGTGTGAACGCATGCAAGATTATTACAAGTGGGAAAATCGATAGCACCAGATTAGCCATCTGCAAGGCCACCCACTTAGTCTTCTTGATTCTCCTACTGAAAGGCCGGATCGCTACCAATTAGTTTAAACAATCTAGACGTCGAAATCCTACCAAAAGCCGTCTAACAAAACAGTTAAGCTCACTGGTTGGGAAAAAAATGTTGTACAACATGCAGTATGCTCTCGCACATGTATCTTCACGTTGTCTGAAAGCCCAAGATGATAAATATGGACACCTAGCCCTACTATGTCGTAAAGGAGGTTAGGTGAGGGGAAACGTTTTCGGAAACCCACCCTCAGTCATCCACTGGTACGCAGACTTCATTAAAATGCTCCAGTCTGTGAGCAACCATAAATCTAAAGAACGGGCAGTATTGATAGCTGTACTTATGAAAATGCTGCCAGTTAAGGCCTAGGGTCACACACGAAGAAGGAGATTATGTGGTATTTTAGATCCTTCATAGGGTGCGTTAGCTGACAGTACGGTGAAATATAGAGCAGGTAATGAACAGACAGAGGAACAGACGTTATGAACGAGACAAGTAAATTTGAGGTGCAATGGAGATGTTTCTGTCTTCTGTTGCAATTCAATGGAAGATCAGATGAAGCAATACCGTAACGTATGAATTGTAAAAAAACTGCCGATACCAATCACTGAAGAGTGATAGGATTATTTTGCAGCAAAGGGAGAAAGTGAAAGACTGAAAGGAGTCAAGACAAAATAAAGCCGAGGACAGGGTTATGACAGAATGCACGCATTTCCTTTGAACATGAAGTCAAGGCATACGTTTGTGGATATCCAGGTATTCCGCCGTTTGCAGAAGTCGAAAACGAAGGGAAAGTGAAAAATGTGGGTGGGCTGCACGAATAACCCTAGAATTACTACAGCTACACAGTAGTAAGCATCGCGGTCGATAGTTAGGCTAGACTCAGAATTTCCCAATTTTGGCATGAAACAATCAGTTGTCAGTTGTCCCTATTTAGAAGTCCAATAGTAATACTTTCATTTTGTCAGCATATCACATCACGGAAACAAAACTGCGCTCTGCAAGTACATCACATTAACAGTTGTATTTGGGGCCTCTGCCGCAATATCCACTTCTATGTTGATAATGTCAATGAATTCGCATGAGTACCATTGATTTTCGGTGACTGGGACATCAGTGAATATTGAGGTAACATTCAGTGGAAGCATGACGGCCGAACAAATAACCATCATAACTGTCATCAATGAACTAAAATATATCGGAAGTAGAATAATGAGACACTTACCTTCTCACTGATCCAAGCAATTCAGCCATATATTAGGGAAATCATTGGTGGGGAAATCCAGATGAGTACGAAATCAGATGAGGAAGCAATTCCGCACATGCATTCTCAGTAACTCAAACAGACACGGAATTGCTGAACCAACAGATCGAGTTCACAGATGCTGTCCAGAGAAAATTGACGCCCTGTCCTGTGTTTCTTTCAAGATAGTTTTGGCTCAGATCTCGGTCTCTTGTGCCTCATTCCTCTTTAGGAACTGATCTTGCGCAAACTTGACAGGTGTGGAGGCCGGTTATCAATCATTCTCACTTGTGACACACACACGATTGAGCGACTGGAAAAGAACACAACACTGTAGTCATGTGGAATAGTGTACTTGATGGGCCGTACCGAAATACCAATGTGTTCTGACCAATTGGGTAGAAGGTCGTGCACAAAAAACACATCGTAACACAACAACATGCCAGATAGCCTGGTTACTCGGCCACGTGTCTTCAGCTTGGCAAGCTCGTTAAAACTATGATGGTCAAAGTTGAATTCCGTTGAAACGTGGGTCACTGATTCTAGGCAGTTGTTTGCTGCTCTAGCCCAATCCCACCCCAGAGGGTTCGTGGGGACCCACGGACGATAATAGGTGGAAGTAAAAACCTAGTGGTTTCATCACAAATGAAAATTTCCTGGTGAGCTTTGTGAGAGGAGTCGTTGTTTGAACCTATTGTAGGGTGTCATTGGAAAGAACAAAACAACATAGTGAATGGTAAGTCGGTCATGATCCCTGTGGTACTTCAACTTTCTCTCAACTAGTTGCACCTGAAATGGAGACAGTCTTTAATAGCACAAAAACGCCTGGTGGGAATGAAAAACATTCATACGCTACATGGAAAGTCTAAGAAGTTGGTAAAATGGCTGATTCCGTTTTAAAAGTGTCTGACAAACTAGTGGGGGAAAATGACGTGATGGCGATAGAACGTGGGGAAAGTTTCGCATTCCTAGTGAACATCGGTGCCACGAGAAAACTTTTGCAAGTTGTTCACGCGCATTAAACACTGGGTTGTTTCTAAATATTCTAAATAACTGTCTGGTGCAAAATGGATACTTTTAAAATGCAGTTATTTGGCTCACAGATATAATATTCAGTAAAATCATACTTCTTTGATGTGGACTTTTACGAGAATACATGAAATCCACTGTTCTGGAATCATAAAGATTAAGAAATAACAAATCGCTTGCATATAATTATTCATGCACTTTTGATCATTATCCTTAAGCAAAATATACGAGATATGACGGTGAAATTACTTGATTCAAGTTTTACTTTTCTCCAGGTAGTACATGTAGTGTTCAGGTAGGAACCCTGGTTTTTTGCTTATGTGAAGACAATACTTCACTTGTCTACCTTGTCAATTTGTACACACCTATTCTGCTGGAATGGCCCATTAGATTAACATGCAGCACTTTTGTCGTCTGGTGACTGAGTAGGTGAGGACTGAGATTACCTGTTCTAAAGAAGCATGTTATTTAAGTAATAATTTTTTTCAGAACTCTAAAATGGCATGCACATGTATATTCAGTGCTATAAAAGTGAAAACTTAGAAATTAAGGTGTGGCAAACGGCTGGTCCCTGCAAACATGATTGATTTGTATGTTGTTCTATTTCGGACTGCAAAACATCTGCGTGATATGCAAGTTTCAGAAATTTGATGCTTGGATGCTCATCATTATTTGATCCATCTAAAATAATTGTGATTTATTCTGTAGGAAAAGCCTGTAGGTACTCCCTGATTGTATGGAAATCAGGTTAAATGGAGCATTATTTTGAACCAAGTTGTTTTTAGTACTTTTATTTATTCGCATCTCTTGTTTGTTCTTCTCGGTTCTAACAAACGCATCTTACGTCATCAGTTGTAAATGCAGCAATACCCACAGGAAGTAGTCGCATGCAGATTGAAATTATTGCATCCTCATGCAGGCAAACAAAAGTACCATGGTAAGGTATACATTGAAAACTCAACGCAAGTTGCTTTTCGAAAGGTTTGTCATCCACTACTTACGCAGTTTATGTTCTTATTTCACGAATATGAGAGGTGCATAGGACGACGGTTGAAGAACAGAAATGTAGTGACTCTTGCAAACTTTACAACATCTACTGACAGCTGTGCTCTAAAATTAGTAGTTTCCTCCATGCTTCCGCCAATCTTTTACGACAGCCAAACGAGAGCGATTTTAGTTTACAAGAATAAATACGTAGCACGAAAACACCAACTTCGTCTAGCGGCACTCCACATAGCAGTCGGTAACCGCGTATGCGAAACGGACCACATGTTGAGTCAAAGGTTAGATACTTTTACTAAGTTCTTAAATAATGAAATAAAAATGGAATTATATAATGCAGAGATCAATCTTATGAAACCGAAAATAAGGACACGTTTCGTCACAATGAATTACAAATATGTGGGGGATATTTTAGGTGAAAAACTTATTTACACTTTGAAGTTGATACACTGGTGACAAATTAAAATGCTTGGGACTGCAAACGTTCAATCACTTGTCAAAGTCCTCTCATAGTTTGGTTTCTAAATCATGAAAGGCCTAGGAAATATGACCTCTAGAAAGGCTCAATGCAAAGCAGTTTACTGATGCACACTGGTATACATTACGCCCATCCGGTAAGAGAGATAGAAGATAGAGCTTGATCAGAGAAGCATGGGGTTTGTGGTCTACTGATCACCGCAATACTTAGTGGTTATTTTAATCAGATCAGTAAACGCCACTATTGTTACGATCCAACGCTACAGATAACGATACAACGCTCCAAGACGATACGACTAACGATAGAACAATGACTTCTCAACTCGGTATTCAGCTGACACAAGAAGAAGACGATAGGATTGAAAGTTTATCTACTCCAACCGAATAATAATAATAATAAGTGAAAACTCAGTCTTTTATATATTCTTAGATGGCCTTCGCCAAAGAAAACAAAATGGCATATTCAAAGAGTAAAATGGACCAGTCAGTGTTTAGTATCCTAAACTGAGGTAAAAAAAAATATGAAACGTAATACAGCACTAAAAGGGCGCGAAAATAAGGCTTAAACGCTACAGTGATAATACATACATATTATAAGTTAGTTATCTTAGGAATTAGCCAGCCCTAACAACTATGGATCCCTCTCAGCTTTTAAGTTCATAAGACATCATAACATGCAAAAACTTTGGTCAGACAGTCGCTTAATTCTAGCAGAACAAATGTGGGCAAATTTATGGTGTTATCGCTTCTTTCGAGATGACCACAAAAGCAGACGTTCATGTTCCCCTATCAATAGCATTCTAGCTAAGTTACGTACAAGCGCATCAGTACTTTAGCCGCACTGTGTGGCCTTTATCCAGAGCCAGAAGCGAGTATTTCTCATCTATATGCGTTGGTTGTTATTTCGTCAAACATTCATCTTTTTTTACATTGATTCTTATATTTATAACTTTATCTACCACAAAAACTTACTTTGAACTTGGAGTATCTGTAGGCATCCACATAGTTGACAGTAGTGCGGATTTATTCCATTAAGATCAGTTGTTGTCATGCACAGGAATATACATTAGAACAGTAGCTGTCTATATGGTGGTGAATGATAAACTCCTAGCATGTTTAATAATAAGTGCTTTAGCACTATTCAAAACGTACACTCGTGGTATGTTGCCTTGCACTCGTTCAGGCTATACGATACAATAAAACAAGAACAAAACCTGTGTAGCAAACAATATTGTAGATAAGCTGCTTTTGGTGTTTTAGGTGGTTTCATCTCCTTGATTCAACCACTTGCAAGGAATTTCCACTGTTACCATTACCACTAAGACAATTCGTTGTAAGAACAGCTTCAGGCGTAGACGTTTGAAGAGCATTGACAAGCAAGTGAGTGGATTGTGTGAATATTCAGGAAACAGCAACACGTCGATGGTAAGCAAGTTCAAAGAGTTTTCTTTGTGTTTTCACAAACAGAGTATTTTTATTAAGTTGGTGTGTTTTTATCGAAATGTAGATCAAGAACTTTGCATCAGCTTGTTGCCGAAATGGAGAGAAAGGAAGGCATCAGAAGCTTTGCGAAGAGGTTATGCAGGTAATTTAAGATTGGGCACAGGGAACAATGCCCACACGCTCAGACCGTTCCGAAATGTTACGCACCTATCATCACTTGTGGCAGTGGCTACTTGATACAGCCTGAATTATATCAATGGAATGGTATTAACATGCGTGAATTATACAGTCCTGGAATCATCAATGAAGTACAATATGTAAACAATTCATGCATACATTCCTTCATAAACTTTTCATCATTATCTCAAGCAAAAAGTACAAACTGTTACAATGGAAGTATTAGCTTCAAGCTTTATTTTTCTCCAGGTAATACCTGTAATGTGTGGATACAAACCTGGTTTTTTTGTTAATGCGAAGACAATACTTCCACTTGTCCAACTTGTAAATTTTCTGCATACTTATTCTGTTGAGATGTATCATTATATGAACGTGCAGCACTTATATCTTCTAGTGACAACGAGTGGGATTCAGATTACCTTCCATGAAGATGAATGTAATTTATATATAAACTTATTCATACCTGTAAAAATGGTGTGTGTCTGTACATTCAGGAATAAATATTATTATTATTATAACATATGTGCGCGTGTGGAACGCCGAAAAATAAACCTTCGGATTCTACTCTTTGTCTATCGATCAGTTTCTTGATAAGTGGAAGAGGAGATAGATAATAGATGGTGCAGTTCAACATCAAAAGTACGTACAGAACACGACTATATATATATATATATATATATATAATGTAACTCCCTGAGGTCTTTTCTTGAACGTTATCTATAAGATATGGTTTCATGAAGCTTGGATCGCAGTAGACGTGTTGCATCATGTTAAAAACTCGCCTCAGAAACTTGATGGCCCTCTGATCTAACTGAATATCTGCATCACTTTCTATTTCGTGATTGGTAGTGGAAGGGTCGCTGTCATTCCCATTCAGAAACGTAACATGATTCATATTATTAGGCTTCTCAAACTCCATTTCGCCTTCACTCTATCCATTGGTGAAGTATTTACCGAGTAGTTTTCCAAATTTGAGGGTGTTGGTATTGGCTGGACATCATCCAGCATTTGATCAAATACCTCAATAATTCTCAGTGTTTCTGCTTCCATCCTTCTTTCATAGTGATGTGAAGATGCTTGAAATTCTTCACTAAAAATGTCGCTACTTTTTCCGGTTGCCACTGGTTACATCTTATCGTCACTTGTCACATTCTTGCAACGAACACGTGGTATAACCTAAATTATATATGTACACACGTCTGTGTGAGGAAACCTGAAAACTAACCTTTAGATCCCACTCTTTGTACGTCAGTCAGCTTCTTGATAAGTGGAAGAGGCGGTGGAGAACAGTTGGTTTAGTTCAGCGTAAAAAGTGTGTAAAAGCCACGATGGTTTATATATTTGTAGTGGCCTTCGCCACTCCAGCCCTTTGTAGACTCAAATATTCCGATGACTTTTATCTTCAAAATGCCTGATATTGATGCCAGATGATGAACTGATAATGGCTCTTGAGGTTTATCGCTTCTTACGAAGACTTTAGCAATCTTGTTCCACATTTTAACACGAACCCCGAGCGAAGTTTGGTTGAAGAGCATAAAAACGACATTGTTTCTCATTAGTAATTTCGGTTTAAAGTCAGTAAATAGGCGGTTTTCGTGGTAAATTTAAAAGGAAATCCGGTTTTACATAGGAAGCGTTTTCATTTTGCCAACTACCCACAATGTGTAGTCTAACCTGTACTCATACATCCTACGTCGACTTTCTTAGATACTCTAAATCATTGAGAACATCTTGGATATGACAAATTCTTGTAACGAAATGTTGAAATTTAGCGTGTTCTTGGAGCTACCTGTAGCGAAAAAAGTATGAATGAAAACGATCTGCACTGCAACACTGAATATGCTGAAAAGTGATATTTCCTCGTTCATTTCAAAACTGGTGGAATCTTCTGATGTTTTTAATCAAATTAATGACTTCTCTTCTGTACTATTCAGAACCCGTAAAATCTTGTGGATTTTTCAACATATGTCAAAGTGATGATCCCTGTAGATTGGCTTCTCTCAGTCAGTGTTTCATGAGTAAGCATATAGTAGGTGGATGGTACAACTAGTTTACCTTCAGGGATGCAAGAGTGCAGGCGCTTACGACATAACTGTTGGTAAGGTACAGTGTTCAGTTTAAGTCACCTCTTTCATCTAACTTATATTATTATGACTTATTTTTATGTCCCTTAGATTCCAAGTGGAACATAAGTCTTCAGTACCACGTCGCCATTTCACTTCGCTTCTGCAGTCTTTTCGACTTGGCTCCACGACTGCCCACAAGCTTTAATTTCTTCCTCACACGATCTCCTCCACGTCATCCTAGCCTCGGATGCCTAACTGGTCGTTTCCCCTTTGTATTCCACTCGAGGGCCAGGGCTGGCTCATGATATCCTCAAACGGTCTTCCCAGTCCATGTCCAATCCATCTCCACTTTCCTCTGCATATTTGTTAGGCGATAGGTTCTTGGTTGGTTCGTTCCCAGGGTTCTCTGCTGCTTATTCTTTCTGGTCATCTGATCTTCGGTATGGAGTGAGCGTAAGCGGAAGCTGTTGGTGAATGTCTGTAGTTTGTTGAAAGTGCTTTTCGTAACGCGCCAAGTGTCTGAATCATATAGGAGCACTGACTTGACATTGGTGTTGAAAATCCGAATCGTGTCCTTTATTCTGAGTACAGTAGATCTCCACACTGATTTCAAATTGATGAACGCCTGTCTTGCTTTCACAATCCTGGTTTTGATATCCTCGTCTGTGCCTATGCCGCCTGTAGTTGAGACGATGCTGCCTAGGTAGGTAGGTGAAAGACAACTTTTTTTAGGTTCCCCAGTTGGTGGTGATTGGTGCTTTTTGTTTATGCTGCTGTTGGTTGGGTATCTTCATCACCTCCGTCTTTTCTACACTCACTTGAAGTCCCGTTTTCGCTGCCCCTTCCGTCAACTTGTTAGTTTTTGCCTGTAGATCTTCGAGTTTGTGCGACATTGGACATAAAATGATCATCGTTGCCGAAGTCCAAATCTTCTAGACTCTTTTCATTGGTCCAGCGTATACCCATCTTCTCAGTTGTGAAGCGTGCACCCCCATAGGTAGCATACCAATCTCCGGTAGCCATTTTACAACTGTGAATTCACCCGCAAAAATATGGCTGAAGCCATTAGAAGCCAGAAACCTACAAAAGGGAATGGGAGAAGATGGCCTCGATTCTTCAGCCCCAAGGAATGTTGGACAGGACCTTCATTTGATTCCGTTTAAGTTGTTTGCTCTTTCGATGGAAACTGGCGCATACCCAACCAGATGGAAAACTAGCTTCGTAATTCCACACTACAAATCTGGGGACAGGGCTACTGTCAGCAACCATACACCCATCAATATAACCCCGGTCTCATGGAAAATTACGGAAAAGGTTATAAAATATGGTTGTCTGAATACCTATTTGCAGAAGGTTTTATATTGAAGTCTCAGCACACCCTTCTGGAAACCAGATCTCGCGTTACGTTTCACTGCGACCTCTTCAACCCCATTGCCAGTAGCGTGAGTCACGCAAAATAGTTGCTACCTGAACACTACATGTACTACCTGGAGAAAAATAAAACTTGAATCAAGTAATTTCACCGTCATATCTCGTATATTTTGCTTAAGGATAATGATCAAAAGTGCATGAATAATTATATGCAAGCGATTTGTTATTTCTTAATCTTTATGATTCCAGAACAGTGGATTTCATGTATTCTCGTAAAAGTCCACATCAAAGAAGTATGATTTTACTGAATATTATATCTGTGAGCCAAATAACTGCATTTTAAAAGTATCCATTTTGCACCAGACAGTTATTTAGAATATTTAGAAACAACCCAGTGTTTAATGCGCGTGAACAACTTGCAAAAGTTTTCTCGTGGCACCGATGTTCACTAGGAATGCGAAACTTTCCCCACGTTCTATCGCCATCACGTCATTTTCCCCCACTAGTTTGTCAGACACTTTTAAAACGGAATCAGCCATTTTACCAACTTCTTAGACTTTCCATGTAGCGTATGAATGTTTTTCATTCCCACCAGGCGTTTTTGTGCTATTAAAGACTGTCTCCATTTCAGGTGCAACTAGTTGAGAGAAAGTTGAAGTACCACAGGGATCATGACCGACTTACCATTCACTATGTTGTTTTGTTCTTTCCAATGACACCCTACAATAGGTTCAAACAACGACTCCTCTCACAAAGCTCACCAGGAAATTTTCATTTGTGATGAAACCACTAGGTTTTTACTTCCACCTATTATCGTCCGTGGGTCCCCACGAACCCTCTGGGGTGGGATTGGGCTAGAGCAGCAAACAACTGCCTAGAATCAGTGACCCACGTTTCAACGGAATTCAACTTTGACCATCATAGTTTTAACGAGCTTGCCAAGCTGAAGACACGTGGCCGAGTAACCAGGCTATCTGGCATGTTGTTGTGTTAC